CTATGTCGGACTCAATAAAAATTGGCATAAGTACTTGGAGTAAACCGAGTAACAATTACCAGACATTTCAAGACGATGGAAAAAATTAATTAGGCAGAAAAATGGATTCCACACCACTTAAGGAAATTTAAAAAAAATGAAAACGAACGATTCGATAATTACCATTCTTTTTTTGTTTAACATTGCATGAAGTCGTTTTTGTAAAAAATTATAACAGGAGATGAAAAACCATTTGAGTAAAACGAACGTATATTTACTGATTACGGTCAACGTTCAGTAAAATAGTTGTATTATAACGCCAGATCACACATTGCGAAACCTGTCTGTTAAACTTTGATGTCTCTTGGCTGGGAAGTTTTGCAGCAAACATTTTTAGAAGTGCGAAAGTGGGTCAATAAAGTCTTCACGTTGAAAATCCAAGAATTTTTTTGTAAGGAGATCTATGAATTACTGGTTTGGTGGCAGAACGTGTTAGACAATAATGGAGAATACTTTGATAATTAAACGTGTAAGGTTTTCTTTGTACCTATACATAAAGTTAAGAAATCAAAAAAAGGTTGCTTTATTTGTACACATCCCTAATATTAAAAACAATGGGCCATAACAGGCCTTTTCCTAGCTCTCGATCGAAATAGACCTTTTCTTTCCGCTTGGCTGAAATAAGACTTTTCTTGGGTCAAATCCAAAATAGGACCTTTCTTACAGCAAATACGAAGTATTGGCTCCGTGCATAAAGTTGGAGGGAGGGCTGGCGCTGGCTGTCACTTTAATACGGAGTTTTATGGAAACGGGGGTATGGTATCGCTGGTGGTTGCCATGGGTGGCACATGGTTTGGGGGTATAAAATGAGGGCAATACGGTGTATGCACGAAGCCAATTGAGGGAAATAAACAAAAAACATCAGCGTTATATGCATCACCAAAACACCCTTAGACAACACAAACTCACTCTACATATCGAACTACACGGTCCACACATGAAACAGACACGAGCAATCTCATGGTGGAATGGATATCCTTGTTCGCAAGGGCATCCGCCATCGAGTCATAAGTACGGACGCTGCCAACTGCAGAGTAGTTGGAGTCGAAGTGTTTGCTGTGTGCAAGTGTATTGGCACCATTTTGTACCAAAATAGCGTGGACTTTTGGAATAATTCGGAGCTCAATGCATCGTCAGCCACAAATAACTCAAGATTACTGATTAATTATAATAATAGGTGTATAAACTATGAGAATCTCAATTACTAAGATAATTCTAGTAAAACATAGTGTAAAGTACTAAAACAAAAAATTATATCAACACCCATGTTAACGAAGTTAAAGTGTCACTTTAAAAATTATGAAGCTTATGTTCATGGTAGTTATCCTTATCACTATGTATTGCTACTTAAAGTCATTGAACAACTCAATAATTTATGATCAATAGTGCATTGAGTCCTCAAAAATCACACTACTTTCTTTGATTCCTTTAGCATCATCTCCCTCCACTCTCATTTCAAATTAGATCCTAAACTCCATTGTAAAAACCTCATTGTTTGACTCTAAACTCTCTACGATCGTCGCTGGCAACTTAAACAACAAGCACAAATCGTGGAAATGCAAACACGAAAATTCTGAAGGACGCTCGTTGTTCAAACACTTACATAACCTCGACATCAGCATGGAGGTTTTGCCAGAACCAGCCCATTATCCTAGCTCTCCTCACCATACCCGTTACCACCAGTCGCATAGACTGGAACCACTTTGCTATAAGCAAGAATCCTAGAATTCACTGCTTTTAAATGTCGTCCCATTAGATCCCAAACTGAACTTGTCATGGCAGTTGACAAATTTACTGACGAAATCAATAGGTGCAACTAAGACGCCATCACGACTACTACAGCTCCCCAACTCTTACTCATACTTCCACGCAATCTTAGGCATCTCATAAAAGAGAAAAAAAGAATCTGAAAATTCTGGCAAAAATGGAGAACTGCAGAACTAAAAGACTACCTTAACTCGCTTGAAAGAGAGTTTAAATCCCAAGTTTTCGAATTCAAAAACAAGGAATTTAACGGATTCATAGTTAAGGTAGAGTCTCACCTAAGAAATGCTTGGAAGGTCCTTGAAAACTTCGCAACAAATGACCTCCCCTCTTCCCTTCTTCAACAAGAAAATAAACTGTACTCGGTAGATTCTGACAAAACAGAGATCTTTGCCGATTCGCTACAAATTCAATTCTTCTCTAATGGTAGCCCTGAGTTAGCTCAGAAACATGTGAGAATTCACCCGCTCCTTAAAAACTCAAAAAGCCCCTGGTAGAGACGGCATCTCCAATAGCATCCTCAAAATCCTTGATCAAAAATTCATCTCGGCGATTTGTAACATCATAAACGTCGTGATAGGCCTTCGTTATTTTCCAACCTTGTCGAAGGAGGTAACGGTCATCTGCCTCCCGAAGTGGGTGAACCTCTTAGCAACCCCTCGAGTCATAGAGCCAGATACTTTACAGTACACCAGCTTCTGAGAGTCACCGAATATCTCTTAGAGAGCCTAATCCACAAAAACTTCGCCGCGATAGCCTTCCTAGATATACAGCAGGCTTTCGACAGAGTTTGGTTCAAGGGTCTATTGTACAAACTCATTCAGTTAGATTTTCTATATTACCTCATTTGCAACGTCTAATTACCGTCAGATTCATCTGCATTAAAGTAGGCGACTCCCTCTCCGACCCTCACTCGATAACCTCTGGAGTCTTCCGAGGCTCGAAATTCTCACCCGCCCTTTTCAACATCTTTTGTCACGACCTGCTCAACGCAAAGACATAAATACGCACGTGTATGGAGACGAAGTTACGGTCAGCTGCAAGTCAAAACAATATTCTCAGTGCACTACTTTTCTAAACGGGCATATCGTCACCCTCCATAACTGGTCTTTGGAAACTGATACTCAATTAGGTAAATACTATAGCCATGCTCTCCTGGAAAAATATAAGGAAGAAACTGCAGAAGATAAGAGTTAACGAAGTAAAAATCGACTGGAGCTACCCCGCCAAGTACCTCGACGTCATGTTAGACTGACGACTTACTTACGTTCGACACATCAACAACACCCGCGGCAAGGCATACGGAGCCTTCGTGCAGCTAAAGCCCTTCTTCAACAACAAAGCCGTCTCCCAGAAGACCAAGCTGCGCACCTTCAACGCCATAATCAAGAGCATCAGCACCTACGCGATACCAACGTGGGGAGCTGCAAAGGGAAAGCGACTAAAGGGCATCCAAGGGATTCAATTTCATGAAAATACTAAGGGAGGTCCTGGATATTCTGTAGTACATCAAAAATACTGAAATTATCAAAAAGTTTAACATCATCCCTCCAATTCAAGCAGCCCTTGTTGTTGCGTCTAAAATCCGTGACTCCATTACAGACCACCCAAACCCCACTATAGCCGCACTGTAAACAATGCATCTCCATGATTCACTGAATAACCGTGACTTCAATTTTGCAGGCTCTCCGCAAGAGCACCCATCCGCCCACCGTATCCTCTACGGCCTCAACTCAATATCATATTTACGCCAATCACAAGTACAACTTCAAACACACAATACACATCATACGCACATACAATAACACCAAAATTTAAGCTCCTCCAACTCTATTCCAGTGCAAGCCAATATTTCAGCTTCGCCCAGATGCATAAGTCCTCCTCTTCTCATCCCTTTGAGAACGAGCTGGCCTCCGAAAATTTCATTATTTTCAAATTTTTCCTTCTTCTCTTAGGTCTCTTTGGTCTTCTAGGAAAGTGGTTCTAACAGATAAATCTCATACGGGGAGGCTAGTTTTTAGGCGAGAGGCACACCGGGTGAATCCAACACTACCACCAGAATAGCCACGGTGTCTACAAAGATTTTCCCAAGCCACCTTCCCGAAATTTCTTCTCTCAGTCTCTGCAGGTCGCATTAGACATCAGCACGTAAGTGTATGTATACCTATAGCTACCATCGGGCGACGATTCTTGAGAGAGTCCAAACCCTTGAGCTCGTTTGGCATGACGCTTCGAGCTCTTAATGCTTAACGGTGCATCAAGCTGTACGAACGCAAACATTGGACTGAGAGAGTCTCATAGTATACGCTCACAGAGTTTAGCGTTACTATGAACTTTAACGACATGCATCCTCTACTGAGCTTTATCAGTCCAATATTTCCCTCAGTGTAGAACCTTATTCATTCCAAATGGCGAGCTCTCTTTGTAGGTTTCGTGTGGTGATGTGGACTTATGCTAATGGATGCTGCTAGCGGTTAGCGGCTATACTTAAAACATTTATAAAAAAAATAATAAAATTCAGCAAGGGTGTTGTACTTTATCATTCTACGTGAACAATAAATAGTTATATATCCTTCAAATATTACTAACGCGGAAGTACAACAAAAAATTTCGATTCCTTTTAGACTTGGGAGGAGGAAAAATTTCTTTAGTTTACGTGTGTCTACGTATAGCTGGCGTACAATTACAAGATACAGAATATAGTTGGTCACTGCTTTACGGCTTCCTTAAGCTCTGTGCTTGTCGTGGTTCAAAATATTTTATTTATATCAAAAACTACTATTTTGCTAGCTTTTATTTAGATTCCTGTCATGTATATGCATGTCCAGGAAAATTCATCGTTTCATTTTTTAAATAATAATGGTAATTTGATCTTACTGAATTTTCACTGCGCACACATTTCCTAATGAAGATAACTGAACTCAAATTTTAATTTGGAATTCCATCTTCGTAGCTAGACTAAGTGCTTTAGATATCAAATAATTTTAAACTTTGTTGAAGTGAAGCTTCTCAAAGTATTTACAAAATGTATGAAAAAATTATTTTTATCAATATAAAAATACTGAGGATGCACATAAAATTAATTTTTTTACCAACAGATTTTAATAATGATCATTAAAGAAGCAACAGCAACAAACAATGATAGAGAACTGTGTTATAACAAAAGTGTAATGTATTTTTTAATTTTTTTGTTACAGGAATACCAGTTAGGAAGGCCAGTATGAGAGGTAAATAATATTCAGTAAAAACATGTGTTGAAATTCCTATCATACATACGCTTTGTTATGACTTTTGTTGATACATTTTTATTTTATGAAATTCTTGAACATGCAAAAATAAGTATACAGACATCAGACTCTAGTACTTTACGTCACTAATATTGTTATGTACTTATTCTGTCCTTAATTCTTTTCATATAAGGTACCACACAATTGCGTGGCTGCAAGAAACTTCCTATGTGTGCACAAATAAAGCAAGCATGTGTTATTTCATCCTGGATGGTTCCAAAAGAAAATTCCTAAAAATTTTTAGATGAATAATAAAGGTCTACATTTACAATTTTTTTTGTCTACATTATTTAATTTTAATTTTACTTTGAATCTTTCTACCCTTTTGTACCACTATCTCTATATCTGTTATTTTTTTTTTCTTAACTTCAGACTTCTCTTTACAATAATTTCTAGTTTCGGACATTAAATTTTTATTTCTAAGACTATTTGTTTGTAAGTATACCCTACATCTACCTTTATCTTGCTTATTTTAAATCTAACTTTGTAGTTTTTATTGATGTTTAACTATCCCCGTAATGTTGCCTGTATAATCTATCTTTATTTTCAAGTTTTATTCGAATTCGAATTAGTGTTTCTGTATTGTCATTATTTTTATTTTTATTGTTGTTATTGTTATTGTTATCTTTTTTCTTTATCCAAGGTCGTCCAGAATGCCTTGACGCACGATAAACCCCTGTCCTGTACGGGTCTCGCAGTCTGCCTAAAGATGTTGTTTTACATTGTGATGTTCTTAGCGATACAGACAGAATACCCACTAAACTGACAAGACCTATCTCCTAGAATACCTGGCTTGGGATCCGTTTTCATATTTAAACTTCAAGCCAGTCCATGGAGTGTTGACTGTTGACGTGGCCTTTCATCAGGGTGTTGTCATCTTCGTGATGTTACCTTCTTTTTATTTCATCTGATCATCTGCTGTTTTGCAAGGACATCGAAATGCTGGGCAACTGCTGCTATCTGCTCCGTATTTGGCACTTGTTCCGTAATCGAAAGATTGAGTCTCCTCCTTGCAATGTTTCTTGCGATGATTGCAGCTGCCACATCGGAGGCATAGCTCCAGCGGCTCCTCCTTATCGCAGTTTCAGTCTATGCATCTGTACCTCAGACACCACTGAATCTGAGTACTTCAACCCATCCTTCAACTCAGCAGCTTGTAAAGCCTATTAGCTAGCTCCTTCTTTCATCAATAGTTTTAGCATCGGTCTTTCCAGTGTTTACTAGAGCTACCTTCTGCCCTCTCTTATTTGCTCCTAACAACGTCACTGTTCTCCTCTGTGGTGATAAACCATGGATCCTACACAACGCAAGTTCAACGTCAGCCTTCTCGGCCGTTCTATGGTTTTAGCTTTACCACTGACAAGAGCCTCTCTGTCCTTTATTCCTCTAACTTTAAGGAGAAGATCTCCCTTTTTGATCGTAGTGACTACTTTGACTGTAATCTCAGCTACAGTTTTTTTTTTTATCCGTGGTCATCTAGAATGCCTGTATAAAAAAGAGTACTCACCCCTTTCCTGCAATGTGATGCTCGCAATCTGTTTTGAGATGTTGGTTTCCTCGACGATTTTCTTATCGATGCAGACTGAATAAGTACCCACTAAACTGGCAAGACCTATCTCCCGAGACTCCCGGCTCGAATTCCACTTTTGAATTAAAACTTCAAGCCAGGGTGGGGCCTCTGAGACTTAGCCCGTGGTACGAGGTTCCTCCGGGTTTTCCGTCACCAGCGCGTCTTTAAGCTTTGCGCATCTACTAGGGCATTTCCTAGTTCCCATTATTTTTTGGGAACCCACTCTTCATCTGTGTTTAGAAGTGGTGTACTCGCAGTGAGTGCGTAGCTGATAGCCTCCCCCCTCAAGGGGTACGGATACCTTTCCTCCCCGCCCCAAAAAAACACTATGAATATAGTCAAGATGAAATTACGTCAAAATACAATTAAAACAAAGTGAGGTGCATGGGTCACCCACGCGCCACCACTCGTTGGCAGAATAATAAGAAAGCAAAATGGTCTTCAGAACCCGTTCTGCGATCAAGCGCCAATGCAGACCTCTATTCCGCCCATCCCTCCACCATGCGACCGCCCCCAAGCGGTCTCCTACCCCAGAGGTCGTTGCCGGTCCGGATCCACAGGGCCAAAGGCTCTTCAGACACCACCGCTCATCGGCAGAAGGATGAGAATAGAATTATTATTATTCTCTGTACACTTTTCTACAAGAGTCGGTACCTGTGTCTTTAATTGTGTTTGTATTTTTACCTCTGCTCCTCACATGTTCCTCACACAATCTCTATATCTTCATATGTGCTTTTAGAAGTATGTGTTTTTCCAATTAAATCATTTTGTTTTTATGCGTCTCAGTTTTTCAAAAATATGAATTTTGTGTTTAAAGTCACCTTACTCGAGTCTCTGTTATTAAGTCCCTGCATTCATGTAATTATAAGTTTCGTATCAGTAATCCTGTGTCTGTATCATTTTATTTTTATTGTATTAACCATGTAATTAGAGGTAGTCAGATGAGATTGCGATAGGGCAAGTAGTGGAAATACTTGGAGAGGGGAGCCACTTGAAGTTAGGCTAGGGGCGTAAGATGTATGCTGAAGCGTTGAGGAGCTGTTAAAATTTTTTGGATTTCTTAATTGAGTCAAAATAATGGAAAAGATGAAAGAATTTTACAGAATTTCATAAATATACAGGATCATAAATTATTTTAAAACGTTGCGTATATATATATTATTGATAGATATGAATGTAGTAAGGTATCCTTGTCAATGCGTTGAGGACTTTCGTTTTATGAAACAGTTGTATGCATTAAGATCATAGATGTATGCTTACAACAAGCTTAAGGGCTTAAGGGCAATCCGGTGATTGTTTAAATTTTTGTACCTTATCGATAAGGTTACTTTAATTCTACACTGGAGGCAGTTTAATTCCTTGAGTGGGAAGTATAAAATTTAATAATGAGAGAGGTTATGTGATCGAATCAGCCAATGGGAATCGAATATTAGAATTTCCTGCTCAACGAATTAAACTACCTCCAGTGTACAACTTTATAACATTAATTATTTATTCAACAGATAGCTATTTTATCGAAAAAAATTAGAGTAGACATACATTCTCGACACTTTAAATAATGAATCAAGTCCATTCTTGGCAAAATTGATTGAAAGTTCTAGAATAAAAGTGAAAAATCAGATGTTGGATTGATAAGGTGTGTAATCTGATATTTTAATTTCCTTCTTCATATTCCTATGAATCTCACCGAAATCAAGCAATATTTATTCCTTGTAGATTCAGGAACGTGCGTCTACTGTTTTCCTGACATTTGAATATTCCAAACCAATTGATAGCTGTAAACTAAGTAAAATATCTGTTGATCAGTTGAGTAGGAAGTTCATTTGTGCAAAGTAATATCTTATGCCTAATTCTATTAAGTATTGTTATTTGCTTTAGCAATTTACTCTACATAATTTTTGTTATAAAAAAGAAGAGTAGACGCACATTCTTTTATCGACAAGAAATAAATATAGCTTGATTTTGACAAGATGTATTAAATAGTAAAGAAGAAAAGTGAAAAATCAGATGGTACCTTATTAGTCCAACATCTGATTTTTCACTTTTCGCCTTGAATTCTCAATCAATCTTGCCAAGTGTGGGCTTGCTTTATTCTTTCAAGTGTCGAAATTGTGCGTCTACTTATTTAACAACAATATAGCTAGCTATTGAATAATTAATGTTATAAATGGAACTTTATCAATAAGGTAGAAAATTTTAACATTTCAACTACATAGCTTAGAGCAACCTAGCTCAAAAAAATACATGAATTTTTACTTGGTCATAGTTTTCATTATAAGTTTTAAGCTTTTGAAAGCCATCAAGAAAAATGCAGTAAGACATAATAATTTAAAAGATGTAAGAAATCACAATTAGCACTGTTGTATGGAACAACGTAGGCTTATACAGGTAGTCGGTTATTTATAATAGCTGATATTTTTTACTGGTGTTTATCAAATTCTTAAGATTATTAGAGCTTTGGGAGGGAAATGAATCCCAAATTGGTGGAATTACGGAAAATTGGAAAGGGCTCATGTTGGTATTAATACCTTAAATATATCGAAGACAACGCACAAATTTCCACAGTGGATGGGGTGGACGTAAGGGAACATTATAGCTGGAGCACTATCAATAAATTAGAATTTACAACATAAACGACAGAGTTATCTAATAACATTTGGGACCCTGCTATAAAGGTACCTTGGACCAAGGTATAGCAGTGGCTATGGCGCTCATATGACAAAAACTACTATTTCATCTAACATTTAAAAATTTTTATCAAACTTAAAAAAATCAGCAAAAATGTAGATTGAAAAAATAATAAAATTTTTTAGAAAAAGCTTGCACATTTTTGAGGTAGTAAAAAATTTTTTTTTAGTAAGAAAAACTTTGTATTGAAAATTTATATTGTTTCTCACTTTAGTTGGATAATATTTAGAGGCAACAATTAATATTTTTAACTCCGGGTTGCTGTAGTACAAATTTTAGTTTTATGATATTGAAACCTATTTAGAACCTGAAACGAATTTCACATTCCATTTTGAAATCAATCCTAAGATGTCCTAACATTAAACTGACATACTACACTAACGTTTCATAAAAGTGATAATACTTATGTTTTCGTTTTGAATCGCATCTACTTCGTAAAACTTTCGCTATAGTTTAGAAAACTTTGAAAAAATGAAATTTGAGAATACGTATAAAATTTGTGTAGGTTCAGCCGTTGCAGTTGGAGTGCCACGAGCCAACCGAGGCTTCCTGTTTAGGACGTTAGCTTTTGTCTTCCTGGCAACTTTTCTTTGGCTGCAACTGCACGTAATCAACCTGACAACGCGGGACTGGTCAAACCAGCATCCAGTGAATGAGAGTCTATACGCTCTTGTGCCTCAAGAGCTGCACAGGTAAGCAGGCTTACAATAAACATATGCGCGTATACATGCAAAAATGTATGCACAATCTAACTTATTCACATCGAAAATATTATAAGTAAAATACTGTTTCTTTAGTTTCTCAGAAAATAGTAACATTGTTGGAATAAATATGAAATCTCGTAGTTTTTTTATGTATGAACTAATCAGTTACTATTCAGTTTACATTAAAATCACTAAGAAGGTAATGATTAAAAAATAATCAATATTTTGGTGATTGTACAACCCTTTAAAACATCCCATACTAGCGGCCCCCTGTTTCGGCTTCGCCCGAGAATCACTAAATGAAACACCGTAGTGTGCTGACATGTAGTGTGAAACGTTTTCAGTTAAAAACTTTACATCTATTTCTGCCACTTCTCAGAATAAAAATCTTCTTATTAAAAACATATTTGTTTGGAATCCATACAGTTTATTTGATCAAGTAAAAAGGTGTAAAAAGAACAAAGCTGTAAAGAAAAACTATAATTATGCTAAAAAGTACCGTACATTCCTTATGCCATAAAATAATCCTTGGCCATTAAAGGCCGTCGATTTGCAGTTTCTCCCGTATAATCTATCAGGGCTATTTTTTAAAGCTGTAAAGATTTAAAACTCACAAAAAATATATGATTGAAAAAAATTTTTTTCTCTTATCTCACAACTTTATTACCACAGCATCAAAGTCCCGGAGCTTAATCTCTACATTTTTTATCGCCTCAAGAATATCAACACATATTTTACCTATTTAAAAATCTAGAAGATTCAAGAGATTACTATAAGGGTTATAGTGAAAAGCTGATCTCTCACTTAATAAATTCTTTATTTATCAATTTTGATGCTGCTCTAATCTCGATAAATGTTCAGTGTCATTTTTTTGATGCCTAAAATTGTATTCATTAGATACATTTGAAGTTTTCCTTCCAATTCGACTTCTTGCGATTTTTGGCACAGTTAAGACTTTTGTGAGCCCTAAAGGCTATTTTTTTCAACTTCATTAGGTTGTAATATATTTGTTGGCAAGGTAGTTTGTCGTCCGATGGCCCTAAAAAAGACCGGTGAGCATCTTAAGTAAACTTTTTCTTGACTGAAGTTTCCAGCCAACGTGATTACCTCTATACCTCAGGGTGATCTTCTCTGGCCTGTTATTGTAGCACCACACTGATCGGGAAGAAAATTACAACGTTTTCCTTCATAGCTGTTAGGTTCATCCAGCGAAGACCTTGGAGAGGATCGGTGATTCCTGGTTTTCCAGCCTTGTGATGAACAACTCCGCTCGTGACGCCGGCCAGTGCATGAATAACTTGGTTTAATAGTGGCCGGCTTTACATAGTCTTGTAGTCGATGAATCGTTATCGGAATGGTAGTAAAAATGTATTCGTTGGCAAGGTAGTTAAAATTTAGGTGGCTCTTAAAAGAACCGATGAGATTGATGGTTAAGTAGAGAACGTTCATACTTAAAGTGGGCCTAAAAAGGGCCAGTGGTGAAATTTTCAGCTATTTCTTATCATTATTCTTGATGATGGAGAGCTAGTTGCGGGTAGCTTGACTCTTACCCTCGAAGTCTCTGTGTACGGAGACCGTGATGGAGGGAGGTACGCCGCTGACCAAAGAATATCTCGTTTTCGGGTTGTTCCCCGGATAACCAACCGCTCATCGTGAGTCGGGAGAGTGGGCCTGGAGAATACCTTCTCTGAAGGTATGCCCTTGGGATGACCACTGAGAAGAAAGCTGTTGTGGCTGCCCGTACTCTTCAGGGCTGTCTTTCCTGGTTTACATTCAAAGTAGAAAATTCGCTGACAGCACCAGGCCGGATGGCTGAACAACCACAGAGCTCTGAAGTGTTGGAACATTGCTCTAGCTAGACCCGTCTCCTGGCATTCCAAACGCCTATTTTTTCGTGGTACTCGGTTATCTTGGCCTTCCGGGGTAAAAACCGATTTATTTCACTTGCCCATGAAAAAAGAGTGCCATCATTAGCCAGGATGCCCAGCTGCACGACTGACGCCTCTGTGCTTGGTGTACTGTCGGTAAACGACTTCGACAATCGACAATTCGATGGGGCATCTTACAACCACCCTTCACTATCTTTGATTGCGGTTGGCTTTAATTTTACTTCGACGCCATCTAGCGGATGCTACTGAACCAGAGCGCAAAGTTAGCTTATTTTAGAAAAACTTTGAGCTTGTTTATCGCTATTATTATTAATTTTTCGAGATAGAAACTATGCGAAAACCATCTCGGAATCATTAAGAATCAGTATCCAAAATTTCAGCAAAATCGCTTCAGTAGTTTTCGTGGTAAGCGATTACAACGGTTTTAGCGACTTTGCTTTCTATATTAGTAAGATATGATTACCCAACATGTCTGTAAAAAGTAGTACGCCAAATTATCGGTTGACTTCAATGATTGAAATTTTTATTAAGTTAGTATATTTGAACGATTTACTGTAACATAAAAATTTTGTGAATTTCAACATTGAAATACTTTCTAATTTCTAAAAACAGTTTCATCGAAAAATATTGCCAAGTATTGTTTTCTTTTTTTAATTGCTTCGATACATAAAGACAAGGGCGGCGCCGTTTCCGGTATGGATGGTACTGAGATCTCGAAGTTGAAGATTGTATGGAATTCTATTCTTGAGTATTTCAACTCCTTTGTAAAAATAAATAAATAATTTAACAAAAAGAAAAATGTTCTGATTCTTTGCACTATTTCTATAATACTTGAAATTTAAAAATTCCATGGCTTTGTAACTGGAAAAATGAAATTAAATTAAATAAGAAAAACAAATGAAAAAAATCTAATAGACTAAAGAGAAACAAATAATACTTAATAAAATAAGAATATGAGTTAAAACAAACTTTTTAAGATTTAGTAATCGATAGTCGAATGAATGTTAGGTATAGTAAGTACATATGGATACACCCAATGAGGCATGTGATTACATTTTTGGACCATTACGAAAGACTGTTAAATTTTTTTTTTTTTTTTTAATAAACGGTATTTATTACAATGGTTTTGTTAAAGGGGAAAGCTATACAAAATTTTCATTATTTATGTTAGAAAATCTCAATATGATACATACGTGACATATAACAAAATAAAAATTTCAATATAATCAGAACAAAGAAGAAATTTCTGTTGTTTCGAAGTGCACGTTACAATTGATAAAAGAAGTAGTACATTACTTTCCTTAAGGCTTTTTTTGTTTCCTCTCGTGAATTGTATCAATTTTTCACCAATCCTGCGCCGAGGAACTACATTTTTATTCCGAGGAGGGAGAGGAAAGTTCCGTCTTTCAGTGCAGTATGGCGAGTATGGTGAAAAAATTTGGAATAGTCTCAATCGGAGTTTAAATTTATTGTGCGAAGATTTATCAGTCACATGTGAAAGAGCTATGACAGTTTGTATGAATACTAACATGGTAAAGCTTTTTCAGTTAAGTACTAGTTGCGTTAGATGTACTTAGCGCGATCTAAACTATTGTGGTTCCTTTCATAGTTATGTACGGATATTTTTATATTCCGTAATCTTAAAGGAAAGTACAATTGTTAGTCTACTTATTTCTTTTAAAAGGACAAACAAGTAAGATATCACTATTTCATATCATTGTCTCGGTGTGAACTTATTTTATGTGATAAGTTATTTTAATTTGGCCAGTTTCACTTTTTTTTAAATTCCACCAAACAAGTCACGTGATCTGTCTTAATCAATCATAAAATGAATAAAATGGCTTCAGTCACGTGATAATTAATTTTTAAAATAGGATTTTTTTGCTAAAATGTATAAATCATTTATCGTACAGTTTTTTAGGATTTAATGTATTGAATTCTGTACCATCGATGCGAGGTAGATAACTCTATACCATAAAATAAAGTGGTGCTTCTCGCTCTTTTAAATGCATACAAATCAAGAGTTTCCGTTGTAACTAAATCTTTTTTAGAAAGAAATATAAATACATAACGTTCATAAAACTCAATAATATGTTGTTAGTCTATTGATTTCTTCACTGTTAAATATTCCCGTTCACAGGTTCCTCAAAGATCGGCGTAACAACGGAACACTTGGCCGCAGCAACAACTTGACATCTGGGAATCAAGAACTTAACGAATATGAAATCGTGGAAATTCACCGGCAAATCGATAAAGTCAATGCGGAGCAGCGTGTTCTAAACGAGGATGCATTCGGACCCTTGGCACCCGAAGCACCGGTGATCCTTGTCCAGGTGCACGACCGGCTTAACTACCTGCGCCACCTTATCATCTCCTTGGCTCAGGCCAAGGGTATCGAAGAGGTTCTACTCGTCTTCAGCCACGATGTCTGGAATCCAGATATCAACTACCTCGTGCAGAATGTTGACTTCTGCCGAGTCATGCAGATATTTTATCCGCACAGCATACAGACGCACCCGCACAGCTTTCCTGGCGAAAGCCCCAACGATTGTCCGAGAAACATTGGCAAAGAACAGTGAGTTGCTTTTTATTTTTTTTTTAAGTTATACTACTCTAGGCGCGTTCTCTGCTACACTGTAAATCAATGATTTCAGATCGGTAACCTTGAGAAAATGTGTAATGGAAGTGAGTTTTGCATTTTATCTCCCCCTTTTGCCCTATCTTGGCTGCCTTGTTCTACTCCCTTCGCCCCATACCACTGACCCAGCCGCCCTAAAAAAATAAAAAATAAAAAAAAACGATTTTTTCCAAAATCGGACTAGCGATCTTCTGCACACTAGCCAAATACCCTATCCACTCTACTACAAGCAACCCTAATCATGAATAACTTATTTCTCATTCTTACAGAGTGCTTCTTAAGGAGGTTTGGGAGTATCATTCAAAGAGGCACAGGGCGAGGAACGGGGAGTCCCCCTGCTCACGCACCTGGGCCCCCTTTACCGCGCACCTCCTCTTGCACTCTACAAACTTGAAACTGTACGACTGTAATTGATTATATTTTTGAAAAATGCCTGGCAAGGCTTGATTTTTTTTGTCGAGCATCTTCTTTCGGTACCAAGTTATCTATGAGAACGTTTTTTTTTATTCCAACTTTTTTAGAATATACCTTAATTTCAATTAAAAAGCAAACCTAACCTTGCTCTATGACCGTGTTAAACTGTTAATATTTCATAATTTTTTTCTCGAAAATTTCCCCTGGTGAAAAATCTGGAAAAATTCTTGTGCACTCTTAAAATTCTCAAATATAACATACATTTTTTTAGCACGTTTCTCTATTTTGAACTTTTCTCCCAAACCTCCTTAACTTATTTTTAATTTAAATATTTATTTACTGTTTATTAATTCGTTTAGTTCGAATATACATAATATAAATTAATGAATCATTGAGTTAGTTAAATTTTTTTTTATATAATTTTCTTATGAATGCAATTTCATGTGATTCTTTCATGAGGTTACATGATAAATTGAGATTTTTTCAAATTAAACATGTAAAAAACGGTATAGTTAACCGATCCGCAATTTTTTGTTAGAGATATAATCAGTGTACCGAACGACCGATCACAAAAAAAACGTTCTAGCTAGCCATTATTACAGAAGTAGACAGATGAGTGTCGAGTCTAACAATTTTCCATCAGTGTTTATTCCAATTAAATACAATTTTTAATAAAGGGGCTTTGTCATTTGACTCATCAATATTTTAAAAAGATAATTTTTCTCATACAAACAGCTCGTTATGTATTGTTTTATTCGAGACTCCCAAGATCTAATATTTTTCCACATATAATTTTTAAATGTATTGTTTTTCATCGGAAAGTGTCAGAATACGAGAATTTTTAATAAAATGCGGACGTACTTTTCGTGTGTGATATGTTATTGATTTAATATATGATGTAAACAGAAAATATGAGCAAATAAAGTAGTTTCAGCACTGAATTCGTGTTTAACTATTAAGGAAAATGAAAAGGAATATGATTGTTGTAAAAAATACGACAAAGTTGTGTAGTCACAACAAAGAATATTGCACACTAGTAAAGTGAACTAATTATCCGATCATGCGTAAGCTTTTGTACCTGTTGCATCGATTGCATTCAGAAACTGCTAAATAAAATAACACTGAAATTCACTTAATGAAAAAAAGTCATTTGTAAATAGCATAAGAATCGCAGAGTGAAATAAAATCTGTGGCTTCCCGGACAAACCGATTAACTTCATTTTTGTGATTTTCGAGAAAAACGGCTTTAACGATTGAAAAGCTACTTTTTGACAGCACGGAAACTGCGCGTCACTTGCTGTGCCTAAAGTTAGGTACTAAGACAAGACTTTGTCATTTTACGTGGGTAATCAAAAAATGCAATCAACTTTCTTGCTACGAGTCGCTTTTGGAGTTATTCGGTTAGACCGGGAACATATAACTTATTCGATTATTAAAATTTATAAATATTTAATAAGAGGACGTATTTAACCCCGAGGAAATATGCCATGCCTGCTTACTAATTAGTTGTTTTCGAACAGTAGATATTTATTACTCAAACATAGCACTGTAGTACTTCTTACAGTTCTGCCGACCAAACGATGATCGTGACGAAAAGTAATACGACTTATTTTTTCCATTGTAAAATGGCTTTTAAAATATTTAATCATGTTAGTTTTCGTCAGAAACAAGGCTTGGACTGCAATTGCAGGAACTAATCTGGAGCGTCAATCACCAAAATAAATTCACGTTAGGTGATGAATTTTGACATCTGCCAGTGGAGTAGGCTTTTCTACGACATGATTCCGGCATTAGCGCCCGTATTTCATACCGCTGTATTAAAATTTTATAAATATGTGGCTATCGCGCTATTGGAGTCTAATAATGCGTTACACTCATACTTATAATTATATTGCAGTGGAAATTAGACGTCTTGCTACTAGTTTTTCTCTTTGATAACAGCCCCATTGTGACGCGAGCTGCATGCTTTTAGAGAAGCGACGTTTAAGGGTTGGTCACCTAGTGAATGGAGCCGAAAGCTCGATTTCACTATAATTATCTTTGCTAATCACGGCCAATCGTTCTAAAAATGTCCAGTGGGGCGCGATTTTGGAATTGCGCTCGAGGTCAATACGAGGACTTGGATGAATTATGAGTAAAAGCCTCATATTAACATCAAATTCTTTCTTAAAGAGTTAGATTACTAAATATAAGTAATATTTTCCCATGATTTACGCACCTTAAAATTATCAGTTTTTGATGCAGCAACGATTTATTGTCACTTATTTGATTGGCCTGGGACAAGAGTCACTTAATCGGTTGAGCCGGGAAAATAGCAGTTAATCGAGTAGGTTTTGTGCTGATTATGGGAAATCGGTAACTCGAATCATTTCAAAAGTTTGTTTGGACAAAAGTACACTGAAAAGAATATGTTTTCCGGTCCTAAGTCAATTTTGAAAAAAATGGAGTTAATCGGTTTGTCCGGGAAGCCACAGAAATATACATGCAAAAAAGTGCAGGTATTGTCAATTATACGTTTGCACATTAACAGTGGCTGTAGCACAATAAACATTTCAAGTACACAGTTAAAGGACGATACACTGCATGGAAATCTCTGTCTTAAGCAGTTTATTTTCTCATCGACATTTTTATTTGTTAGTAAATTATTTTTGTCGTTCAACGAATGCCATAATAACCTATGTAGAAGCAGAGTTGACTCATCATTAAGGTTGCCCACAATTAATATTTTATACTTTTCTTCTGATTTTCTATTAAGTTAAGTCGTTGACCTTATATTCTTAAGAATTTGATAGATTCTTTGTGAAAAAATACGCAAGAAGTATTTTAAATTTTTGAGGTTACTCAAAGATTTCCAAAGATATAGTCAATTTTGTGACCACTGTCCATAAGAGTAGGTGTTAAATTAGTGAATTTTCAGCAGCGATTTGTGAAAAATTGAAGTCGCTGACTCCAGTATTTTCTTATCACAAATGAATTTAGCATACTTTATTTACACAATTCCAGAATTTGAGAGGTTTTGATGAAGCCGATAAAAATTGCCCTAGCCACCTTAAAAGATCCGCTGACTCTCCAGTTCTCCTTTCATTAATTATTTTTTCGTAATTATTTTTGTGATTATTTTAATAAAAAGAATTGTAACATGAGGTGAAATTTGGAGGGATGAATTTTCTAATATTTTCTCTCACATCATACAAATAGAATCTGCTCTTATTATTTCTAACAAGTTTTAGTTGGTTATTTGTTAATCTCTGTTGCTCTATATGACCAGTGTTTAACTGCTCATTATATTTCACATGTTTTTTTAGTGTTTTAAGGTATACCCTAAAACACATAAAAGTTCATAATACTTTAATCTACCCCATAGATACTTACAAGTTTTAATAAGTTCTGTTATTACGCATATAAATAGGGCAACATCCTTAAACGTCAATTGTACATCAAATACAAATATCTAAATAAATTATTAAGAAAATAAGAGATTTTAAGAAGCTTTAAAGTTTACCTTTATCTACAATTGTAACAATAACTCTTACAAATTTATTTACTGTTTATTAATTCGTTTAGTTCGAATATACATAATATAAATTAATGAATCATTGAGTTAGTTAAATTTTTTTTTATATAATTTTCTTATGAATGCAATTTCATGTGATTCTTTCATGAGGTTACATGATAAATTGAGATTTTTTCAAATTAAACATGTAAAAAACGGTATAGTTAACCGATCCGCAATTTTTTGTTAGAGATATAATCAGTGTACCGAACGACCGATCACAAAAAAAACGTACCCAGTAAAACTAGTTGTTTTCTAGCTAGCCATTATTACAGAAGTAGACAGATGAGTGTCGAGTCTAACAATTTTCCATCAGTGTTTATTCCAATTAAATACAATTTTTAATAAAGGGGCTTTGTCATTTGACTCATCAATATTTTAAAAAGATAATTTTTCTCATACNAAAAAAAAAAAACAGTATGAAGAATTATAAACTGCTAATTTATAGCTCAGTAATGTACGGAAAAGCAGTATAGAGTATGAATTTGTCATAAGTTCGATTAAGCCAGGTATGAAAAAATTGCATCGCGTGACGGCCCGAGGGAGCTGCATCTTTATTGCACTAAGGCAGCATCATAGGCTGGCAGGGTAATAAAAGAGAAAAGAAAAAGACGCTCATTTGAGAAAAAAAAATAAAAAGAGAGAAAAGAAAGAAAAAACAAAAGTGAAAGAATAAAGGGAAACAGTGTAAAGAATGAAGAGAGTGCTCGCATGCAACTAATTTTCAGTCCTACATGCATTTTATCATCCTGTCTTGCGGCGTTCAAAGAGACTCCCACGCATACCAATGTGGCTATTGTTATATCAAATACTGTTATTGTAACGTTACATCCGTCGCAGGGCTTTGCTGCAGGGTTGCACGAACGCGGAGCACCCGGACTCGTACAAGCACTACCGCGAGGCCAAGTTCACCCAAACAAAGCACCATTGGTGGTGGAAGGCGAATCGGATTTTCGACCAGTTAAACGTTACCCGCAACCACACTGGCATGGTGCTCTTCCTGGAGGAGGACCACTATGTGGCCGAGGACTTTCTCCACGTACTCAGGCTCATGGAGCGCACCTGCCAGCGTAGCGAGCAACGGTGCGACGTGCTCTCACTGGGCACCTATCTCAAAACTTACAACTACTATGCTGACAATAGGAAGGTAAGTTCATACAAACTTGTGTTTATGAATCCAGTCTTTGTTTACTTTTCATCCCTGTCTTTATAAAATTGCAATCTCTTGTCTGTCGGCTATTTACTTTTTGAGGTAAAAAAATCGTTATTGTATTAACACTGTATAAGCTTTAACACTTACACCACCACAGTAAATATCGCTCGATATTTGGCTTTTTACTAAAAATCTTTTATGGCTCACTTATTACAGTTGTCTGGTAGCATCATTGTAATTGAAACAATGGTACAATTCGTACCTGATGGTTCATATCACCAGGGCAAGTACCGAACATTAGCGAACTTTTTTGCTTGCCTTGGTTGAATGTGCACCTAGTTACCATGTACGAATCCTTTTTTTTTTTTTTTTTTTTTTACTAAGAATGCAGTGATTGTTTATAAGGAAAAAAAATTGCCCACAGGAAAAACATGTTTTAGTATTAGTACATTGACCTTATTTTCCTCTGATTAAAGGATTAGTTCGTTTACTAAAATTGGCACATCTATTTATCTTTTAAAATATAAAGCGATTGAACTTGAGCCATACTTAGTCATCGTAATGGATTGATTTAATTTTTTTTTTCAATTTTTATAATGGTGTCAACACGATGAAAATTGCTTGGAAAGAAAATTTTAATTTTTTTTTCCCTCATAGCATTGAACATTTTAAAAATGTTTTTAAAAAGCTGAAAAACGTTATTGATTAAGTCAAACAGGTAGTATATTAATTTTTCAAAACTTTCGTAAAATATTCAAGGAGTCCGTTGATTTTTGTTATTAAAAACTATTCTCAAGTCCGTTATGCGTAAATGGTGTGTTAAACTAGTGTTACTATTAGGATGATTACACTTAAAGATTTTTTAATAGTTTTTACTATTATTCAAATAAGTAAAATATTTATTTTTATCGCAGTAAGTTGAAACAAATCATCTGACACCTCCAGTTTATCATCCTGAGGGTAAAATTTGTTCAGTGTACCATTAACACCCAAATTAATACATGACGGATACTAACTTGAGTAGTTTTTAACATCAAAAAGTAGTAAACGCATTCATAGTTTTCAAAATATTCATTCGATGTATTTATTGGACTTTATCAAAAATATTTTGTAACGTTTAAACTATTAAAGGTAATGCATGGATTTTTAAGAATTTTTCCAACAGCGTATACCAATTTAAAAAAATCTTCCCTCAGAAGTATTATGTTGAAACGTTCAAATTATCAGTAGTTTTAAAATAAAGTAGAAGAAAAGCATCTTGAATCCTGATAAAAAGTGGAAGCTATCACTGTATAATAATGTTACGGGGTGCTGCCGATGCGGAGTAGGTAGCGAGGCGGAACTGGCAACCTCGACCGGGCCTGTGTTGCCCGGGTACCCCCGGCGACACCTCCAATAAAACTTTATACGCGGGTCTCGCTCTCCGAGACCTCGTAAGTGACGAGTATCGCGGCGATCTTGCACGTCGTCGCCTCTCGCGACGACTTTAGTACGACACAAGGAGATCGGGCACACACAAAAGGATGCACTCGCGATTAAGTTTAAAACGAGAAATATATTCAATTAAATATATAAAAGATTACAACTCGTACTCGCGGGTGTAGGAGTGTGTTCTCGCACGTCGAGCGCGATTACTCGACGTGCTCGCGGCGCGAAAACGAAAACCGGGCAGACCTACGCGGGCTAATCTAGGGCCGCTGCCCTTTACAATAAACTGCCTGTTGGCAGGTACTTACAGCGATGCGGGGAGATCGCTCCTCGTAGATGACTTGGATAGGCGGAACTAGGCGCTGTTGGCGTGAGTTCGCAGAGGCCAGTAGGCATCCCTACTGGCTGCGTGTGGAGGTCAAGGTCGTCAGGCCCGGCCTTGGTCCGACCTTGTCAACGGGTTCAGGAGCCGGGTCACGGCACCAACACTTTACCACGACGTTGAATTATCTCCAAATGTTATCGCCGGATCACCCAATCACTCCAACAAAAACTTCACGCACCAAAACAACGGAAACAAAGAGAGGTGGCAAAGAAAGAAAACTCGCTTCACGCGCGTTCGCTGGCCCAAGCTAATCTGCCGCTCTCTCGGCCCTTTCTCCCGTTCCCCTACTTTCCCTTCCCGCTTTCCCACTTAGGCCCTTTAACACTCTTTCCCCCTTTCCCTGCTTCCCTACCTGCCCTAGCCTACTAATGTGGCCTAACGGTGGGGCACCGTTACACAGTATGCCAATAATTTTATCAAAATGCATAAAGACAGGTGTAAATAAAACATACTATTTTTACGTAAGGATATAACGATTGCAAGAACATGTCAAATCTAAAACATTATGTTAAAAGTATTCATTAGTACCATTTGTAGTTTCTAAATGAATTTTCGTACCAAGTAAGAAACTTTTTTAAAAGGTTTCCTTAGCATCTCTTTTAACTAATCCAATAACTTGTCTTATGTCGATTAGAATTTTGAACTTATGGATCACTATGATATAACACGTATTAATACTCTTAGACTGGATTAGTAGTATTTTTTTTATTATCTCTGTGGAAATCTACTGGAATCTGACTACTTAAGTAGTAATAGACTACTAGTAATTAATAACATTTTTTATAACACCAAGACATCTGAGATGCATAAAATTCAAGTGACGTACCATATTTGTTATCAGTATATCAATAAAGGTTCAATACCTACTTGATGTTCGAAATTTACTTCGTTAATAAAACTTTTATGAGTCTCTAGATGGTAGCATAAATCAGGAAAAATCGCCCTATCATCGACTTTTTTTCAACCACATAACTTTTACATCTATAATAACCACCATGTCCCTTGATATTTTTTATGAATAAACGAGCCGGATGATCGCAAATAAAGCACATGATCGATACAGCCAAATGTTTTTGATCCATTACAATTCCATTGGTAACAACAGCAGAAATTTAAGCGACCATTTTATCTAAAAAAAAATTTGATGTTGCTAGGTTAGCTTTTTGTTATGCATCCAAAGATGACCGGAATAGGTTTATAAAGGGGTGTCTGCGTGTAAAACCACAAGAAAATTCGCCAAACTGAAGTTGAGCTTGAATGGATTAGCAGTAACCCAGTCAATGTTTAATTATAATTTTAACGTCTTTTTCTCTGCAATTGTCAGTTAAGGACAGTCCGGAGATAGTTAAAGTTCCGTATTTTATCGATAAGGTTACTTTGACTGTATAACTTTATAACATTGTTTATTCAACAGCTAGCTATTTTATCGAAAAAATAAGAGTAGACGCTTATTCTTAACACTTCAACGAATGAGTCAAACCTAAACTTGGCAAGATTGATTGAGAATTCAAGGCGAAAAAGGAAAAATTAGATGTTGGATTAATGAGGTGTGATCTGATTTTTCACTTGTCTTCTCAATAATGTTATTAAGCCATACGATTACAGTAACCTTATCGATAAGATAGGAAACTTTAACTACTTCCAGACTTCTTTTAACTAATTTTTTGATATTAAATTCTAATATGTATGCTAGATTATTTATGTAATTTTTGTTCAGAATTTTCTATAGTTGCAATATAAAACGTGCGAAAGTGAAAAAATTCAGCTAGATTTCTTGAAACTCTTTTAATAAAAGTGTTACCATATTTTTGTAACAATGAAGAAATTTAACTATGATTGACCTTGCATTTGATATAACAATATGTTTAACTGCACTGTAAATATCTTTATAATTATTGCAAATACCATTTTAACAAAATATTTGGCTTTCACTACGAGTATTCATACAATATGATTACATACTGCACTGTTATTTTCTAAAAATTTGAGAAATTATCACTTTATTCATTTTAAACGTAAATCATACTGTTCAGGTAACACAACCTCACTATTTTTGTCGATATTCGTAAAACTCCCCTTGTCTTGAAGTTCCAAACGTTTCATTTTCAGATAGTATTTCATACGAATAGCACCGACTGCAGTGCATTTACACGATGAAATTAACAAGAATTAATTTATTGCCTTATTTACCACATAATTTTATACAGACAAAAAAATGACACAGTAATTTTTATTCGTAAGGAGACGATACTATACACACTGCATATTGTATAGTTTTTTTTTTTTTTATACATTATAGTGCTTTACGTCCGGCTCCTTTGATAAGGGCACTACACAGGGCACTTAGCACTTTGGAGAAGGAAGGGAAGAAGGATGGGAGGCCTTCCATTACAGGAGGGGGGTAGGGGCAAAAAGCATATGTGAAAATACACAGAGGTACTTGCCCGAAAAAGTCGCACTGGCCGGGAATCGAACCACAGTTTCCCGCGTGCCAATCCACGACCTAGCCGACTGAGCCACCGCGCGTTCATATTGTATAGTTATATGGGTACACGTATTATGCGATAGCATCCAGTACCTTAGCCAAAAAAAAGGATCCAAATCTACGATCACAATTCATCCAAATTGAATCCATACAATTATTTAATCAATTCTAGATCCGACCTTCATATGATTTAAGAAGTTTCTATTCGGGATGTTTTAACATTGCCTTTGAATTCAGTTTATCAGAACAACATGTTGGGGGTTAGAGTAAAATAGTTTAGTTGAGATTGATGAGTTGAAATTTTGAAATCGGTGCAAACGAGTTGAAGGTCAGTGAGTGTTTGGTTCTGGTTTGGTGGGATGGAAATTGTAATATATGTTAGGACAAGAAATAACACATGCACTTGTACTATATGTAATGGTGTATGGAATAGTATTTGTCACTGCTATGCATCTACTCAAGGACGATCAGCGGGTCTAAGGAACTCCTTGTGCTTGCCCAGATCAGATGCGCGCCTGGTGTAAAATCCATTTTTCCTCCTAAGAGTGCAAAAATCGCTAAAATTGAAAATATATATATTTTTTTACCATGGGTGTTTTATTTCAACATTTGGATATTTACTATACCAACCTCGACCAGTACAAGAAGTCCCTGGGGCCAACGCGGACTTAACGTCGAAATACGCAAAGCCGAACAAACCTACTATTGTACAGGTTCGATCCTCATTTAACCATTCCCTCCCACACCTTTCGCCGTAATAAGTGCATTCGTTAGCCAGATGTCAAATTTTTTATCTCGATTAGATCCCAGGGTGCTTTCCCCAGTGACAAGCGCCAACAACTATGAAAACTCTTATTTTACACTGTGACAAAAAAGTTTTTAACACATTTAAATTACGTATTTCAATTAATTACCTGTGTTACACAACTTACATTTGACACGTATAGTATTTTTTATTTTTGTTATTATTTTTACTATCATATTAATTATTGTTCTTGTTAAAACTATTAGGCACGACTGCTTTACACGAGTACAAGTATTTTGCCAGAGCAAAAAGTGTAACCATCACCACTTTATGAAGACATGTAAATCGAGTGTTTTCAAAATGATACATTCAAGTAGGCTCTAACTTGATTTGTAGCTTTATTTTCAATTTACATTCTGACAGTCTCAAATTCATAAAATTTTATTGGAGGAAAAACTTTAAAAGCACCAAGATTGTATAACTTTGATAAATTAAAATCAGTTGTTTGCATGCAACTTTTTAAGTGGTCCCTACGGAGTGGAAAAAAAACGTAGATGTCAACAAAAATAACTTTTGACCACGCATGTGGACTCAGAAAAGTGACTTAATTTATGCAAAACACTTGTGTAAGCCACGACCAATTTACAAAGTGTCAGAGAAAAAAATATTATTTAAATAAAAAAATTTAATTTGGTGATTATTCCGTTCTTACATACAACTAAATTTTAATATCAATTTACTAATTATACATATCTATAGACTCCTTTCACTTGCTCCTTTGTCATCAAATAATATTAAGACTCAAACTTGGTAATGTGGAGCATGACTATTTAAATAATCATGCACCACATTACCAAGTTTGAGTCTTGATATTATCAATATACTAACTTTGAGACAAAAATAACAAGTTTATATGATATAAAACGCTTTTTCAGCCTTTACAAAATGCTTTTCGTTATTAATTATATTAAAATAATACTACAGATAAAATCAATCAAAACAAAAAAATATATTTTCATAAGATCTATAATTTTTATACTAACGTTTTGTCTAAAAATGTAATGTACAAAAATAATACACTGCAAAATAATTATTTACCATTTTGAAACGAATTTTGCCTGTAACCTGTAAAAAAAGCGCTTTCGAGATAATCTTACTAGACAAAAAGTTTTGTTTTAATAAGCTCTATAAATTTTTTACCAAAGCTACCTACAAAATTTTATTCTATTTGGATCATAACTACACTCACACTTACACACCATGTGACCAACTCAGATCAAATACTAGGTTGAATCTGTTTTATATTGAAAATAGAAAATTTACATATGGTGACACTTTTTGCTCTGGAAAAATTATAAAATACTTCCATATATTGGTTGTGCCCAAAAAAGGTATTTTAATGCCTTTGTAGGTAGAAAGATCATATTTACACATGTTGAAAAAGTTATTATTTTTTTATGTCTTTAAAATTCGCATGTTGGGTATCTTGAAGATAGTTCTAGATCGTGAAAAACTCATTTTTTAAGATTTTTATTTCATTTGTTTCCCCAAGATTCATCGTTATAGTTAAGAAGTTAAAGAAAACGTTGAAAAACGTAAAACATTAAAATTAAAAAAAAAAAAAGTAATTTATTAGGTTTTTGGTGCTTTTTTAAATCATTTAAAATATACAAAAGAAAAAAAAGAAATAAAACAATTAAATATTAAAAAAATGCTTACCATCACGCTTGGCAACAGTACTTGGGCAGCCTACAGAAGGATCTGCTGCGCGGCCTGAAGCGTCAGGAGTTGGCAAGCGGTACAGCCGGTAGTCCGATCAGGCGGTCTGCTACTACTGCTAATGCCGGTGGTGGTAGTGGTCAGGAGCTTGGCTCCACGCATCCCGGCCAGAAGGTCGTGGCTGCGCCCTCCTGGGCCTACCAGCTCCTGCCCAGCCTCTATCAGCACTACCAAAAGGTTTTCGACTACAATTAAGCTATCTCTTTTTCTCTTACTCCTTTTATACAAATTATGCCTGAGCATCTATTTTTTTTTTATCTCACGACCGATTATTCTCTGAACTGTGTGTTCTTAGTTAGTTTTCCAAAAAATTTTCTCTCCCCGTAACCTCTAATTCCTTACGTAGGCAGCTATCAGTACCAGAATCCAAATTTCTATTACCTTACCATACGCAGAATTTCGTTTGACTTGAAGTTTATGGTACGAAAAATAAACAACTTATACCTATCCGAACAGTCAAAAAAATTTTTGATAATTTTTTTGCATTCGCTTTCCTTGCTATACTTATTAACTGCCATGCATGAGCATTTCTCCAAGTTTTATGATCAAACTTTGCTTTGAATCATTGTAAATCTCCATATTTATTATTTCTGTAGCTCTAAAAAATTTCTTCTCGTCTTTAGGGTTTACTTTTTTTGCTCCAATTTATTTTCAAATAAAATTTTGTTCACAGTTGCGATATTTTCCGTAGACATTGCAGCTTATTTGCCTACTTTTTTTTGTAGAAGGATAGTTGCGAAAGCATTTTGAGCAAAACTTAATTATAATAATTTTAAAAAAAAGTAAATGTTATACTTAAATGAACAGCTGGCATCTTTGTTTGCTCATCAGCTAAGAATGCCGAATTTTCCAGATTTTTTTTTTTTTTTAGAGAAACAAGCTTAATAATTACGTTTTTCCAGTACACTAAATATAGCATCAATAAAATTTATGCTCGACGAAATTAATTGTTTTTAATATAAAAACTAAGTGGATTACAGTTTCAAAAAGTCATTTCTGATTTGAAAAAGTTTTTTTTACTTTTCGCACAAATAAAAAATATTTTGAAGCTTACTTAGATTTAGATCATCATTTTTTACAAAGAAGTAAGAAATTAGCGTCTAACAAGTTTATATACTTAAACGTAAATTAACGTTGTAATAATAACTTCACTAGTATGTTCATTTCGATTGTATTGATTAAAAGTCAAAAAAGTGATCACATTTATTAATAAAATTTCTGCAATGTTTGATAATAAGTTTTGACTATGCGAAAATGATTTCAAATCTAAATAGTACAGTTTTTTTTTACATCCATTACCTAATTAGTAATAATATTCAAGATAAATATAATCGTTAGGAGAGAAAAAATGTATTTTAAGTTTTGCTTGGTGTGCTCAATCTTTCATTGCAACCAAAGTGTATGAAAACATAGAAAAAACAAATTGTTTATCATATTTTTTTGGTAATGGTAGATTCCTAATAGTATTGTAATTTTTGTTTAGAGCAGCTTTCGTCTCTTAGAGAAAAAATTAAAGCGAACATAACGCCACAATCAATTATCAACACAAACGTTAACAAGCCAATAATCTCGAATCTTCGATACATTCTGCAGGCTGAAATAACGCCGTGGGTCTCGAGCAAGCATAACATGGGCATGGCCTTCAATAGAGCAACCTGGAAACATGTAAGGAGGCGCGCAAAACAGTTCTGCACGTACGACGACTACAACTGGGATTGGAGCTTACAGCACATAGCCCAGACCTGTTTTTCGCCTGACTCCAAATCCAGTCTGGTGCCTTGCTCTGGCCTAATCACCATTATGATGCGAGCACCTCGTGTTTTTCACATCGGCGAGTGGTAAGCTTGCAATACTGTTACATTTTTTTTACGTATACTTACCTGATGTCATAGGCCCACAGCACACTTATTGCCAGTAAGCATTTACGGATATTTTCACACATGCTCGTATATTTCTGGATTAGGGTGCACCGTATGCACACAAAGTTCCAACTTTTACATTAACCGGCGCTTTGGAAAGCCGGTTCGAGCATCTGTTCAAAATTCCAGCTAAGGTCATACGGTTTGAAGTTTGCAATTGCATTACTTTACAAGTATATACGAGTATGTAGACTGTCCAGAACCTTGGGAGCTTAAACATAATGTTTCGAGTAACTGGAAGAAATCTCGGTTAATGTATGGCCCATCAAAAGCTTCCCTATTGCTTTATTGGGTACTTTAAGGTGGTTCTTTCATGACTTCAGACACTTCCGAGTCAAAGGTGTGACTATCAAGTTGATATTTATTAATGCTGCTTATATTTCAAACAATTATTTGTAAATATTGTTTATTGAGTCATATTAAGTACTGATTCAAAATTTTAGATCATTATATCCGATATGAAAGTTAGTAGGAATGATTATGTAAAATTTTGCGCTTAACCTCAAAATACCAACAATGGATGTTTACCTATGCTTTCCTCATAGAAAACGGAAATGTATGCCTATGTTTCTTATAATATCTTTTGATTAAGTCCGTGAACACATATATTTCGAGATAGCAGTATATTTGGAATTTCACAAGCCTTATTGTGTCAGTTTTTTACTTAATTATATTTAGTAATTAAGTAACTAGGCTACAACTTTCAGTAAAAAAATGCTTAGTTGCCACAAGAGCACATGTTTAGAATTTAATTTTCGACTCGCCGTGCGCGGGGACTGTGATTATGATCCACATTACATGGCTCATAATCTCGTTTCTCGCGCACAATGTGTCGAAAAGTTGTATACACCACACGTATGAGAGGTTAGGTGATTGACACACGCGTGTGTCAATCACCTTTCTCGCGCACTAGTATCGTAATGTGCTATTTCATTTATCATTTTCTTGCGTTTACATTCGTCAGCCTACTCTGAAATTTTGAGGGGTAGTGTATTGTAACTTAATAAATGATTCCTCAAGGTTTCATGTTATTCTGTTCATAATCATTTCATAAAAGAACCACCTTAAGCGTCCGCACTTTTCAAAATCGCGTGCCACCATGCAAAGCACTGTAGAACTCTTTATCTCCACCACGATGACCCTCAAAACAAATTGCGCAGGTGTACGTTTCAAACGAAAAAAAAGTTTTTGTCGTAGACGCGCCATCGCCACTGGAGCTACCCTTCGATCCCTCTGGCCCCTGAGGGATGGAAGGGTAATCCCAGTTGAATGGAATTTATGTGGCGAAAACTTTTTTTCTACCAATGGCGCAGTAAAAATTCAAATGTTGTGGAAAACGACATCGATAAATGTTCACACGTGTATCTACCTCGCATGTCAATTTCAGTGGGGTGCATCACAAGAAAGCAAACTGTGAGTCAACTTCAGCAATAGCCAAGCTTCAAAATGTTCTGCGACAGGCACGCCAGCACCTCTACCCAAGTGACTTGACCCTCATCCATGCTGCCATCTCGAAGAAGACGAAGCTACGACGAGGAAACGGTGGCTGGGGCGACGTACGCGACCATGAGCTCTGCCTCAACATGACCCTAGAGGCATCTCCAGCACTTATCGAGCTGTAAACTCTGGTATCTTTATGTTACCTATAAAATGTCCAAATAAAGCGCCTAGTCCAGTTCCAGAGTGCGGGACGCGCTTGTATAGCGCGACTGTGCTTATATATACATAAAAAGCCGAGGATGTTACATCAATGTCCTTTGTTTTTCCGATCGAGAGACTGACAGTCAGTAGAGTAGACACGCATTCGTTTTGCGCTGTCATACTAAAATAATACTAATGTATTTTCTAGTCAACGTTTACGATGAGGTAGGAAGGGAAATGTAGCAGAGACAGAAATAGCTTATGTGGTCATACTTAAACTTATTGTTGACTGTGCGATACTTTATCAAACGGTAGATAGCCATTCGATAGATTACCCAAAATTATCAAACATTTTTATTAAATATACGTATAAAAATATCAGCATATAGGTAGATGTATATACGTGTACGAACTGACATTTTCAAGGTTGCCGGGTGTTTTGTATATATATATGTGCATGGCAACACAGCTTGTAGATACAACACATTTTGACTAGCGTTGAGGACAGAAGCTGAATTGCTGATCATATACATCGTAGTATAATGATTCACTTTTATTGATTGACATGAAAACCGTTAAACTATTGTATTACCCATACTTATCAAAAAATCATAATTTATACAAGCTTGTAAAACTTCCTTTTACGTGCATCTGGTAGTCCTATGCACTTTAGCCTACGTGTGCGTGAAATACAAAAATGGTGGTTACAGCAACGTTCATAAGCAGCGTAGGTTATGTGGTATATCAGTTAATAATAATATTATGTATTAAAGAGAATCTATGTTCCATGATGTACATAGAAAGGAAAATATATGAGTTGCACAGATTATTCTTTGTAATATTCTGTCAAGAATTAGGAGTCTAACATGAGTAAATTATAGTTGTAGATTCAATACTTGAGGTGCCATGCACCATTTTTTATCTATGAAATTGAAATATTTTATTACGCATGCGTATTGTATGAAGTCAATCAGCTAATACAAACGGAGAGAAAACTTATTGTACTAAAACAGTAATCCGTTATTATTCCATCGTCTAAAGACTTTTTACTATTTGCACAATTCTTTTTTGTGTGAAAAACAGTTATTTTAATCGTAAGAGTAGTCTTTTTACTTGTTTTAACGGTAGTAACAACTGCAGTTCATCATGGTGAAAATTAAGTTGTCTAAAGTAAAAATGTCCCTAGACATGATAAAATATCAGTTTACCTTTCAAGCAACGAGATTTTTGTAAGTATTCTCTCAATGTATGACTTATTCTATCCAAATGAGCAGAATAGGAGTGAACATTTTTTTTCTTTAACACAAAATTTATTATTTTTTCTAAAAAAATTTCTTATTCATTACTATTTAGAATAAGAATACACATTAAAATTTTTTCTAGCAGATAAGTGCTACATATTTTAACCACTAAAGTTCATCATAAATTATTTCAAATCAAATACTTCAATATTTTTACAAATATTTTGATTTTTTTTCTTTAATGTGTAATGCATGGTTTTTGTTGGAAAAAATGTTATCAAGAATTAGTTCAATTAAAAAAATGTTTATAGAATACAGGATATATTACGAGTGGAAAATAAATTGTAAAAAAAATTGAAAAACTATGCGTGCCCCAATCTGTGTGTACACGTATTCGCTACGTGCACAAGCTGAAAAAGCGATCGCAGCAATACCTGTGCTAATATGTGAAACTAAACGATATGTTTGTCTTCTGCTAGCAGACTACTAAGCATTACTATCATCAGAAAGTTGTGTGTTTATACATCGACAACCATTCTAAGGGTTAAATTTTTAATAAAATTATGAGTAGTATGTACATATTTTACTCAGGCATGTTCATTAAAAAACGCAGTGAAATACATTGGATACTGTGTATTTCTTAGAGTTTTTGGCTGGGGCCTGATCCTCTAACTGTATCGTATGAACGTGTGTACATACTGTGTGAACACGCCGGTATAGGGCTAATGGAGCTCTCTGATTGGTCAGAGGAGGTCTGTGTTGACTACATTGCAAACTAATAAAATGTATCACATATCGCACTGTACACGGACTTATGTTGAAGTAATACTCAAGCGCTTATAGTGCATGTAGTACAAATTTTGTCTTTAGTTATTCACGTAGGATTGTACCACTTGAGACATTGTATTAATTCGTGGTATAATAAACACAGAACCTTTCGTGTATCTACTGTGTTCCTATAGGTATCAAGCACATATCGCGAATATTGCCTTCTGCTGTGCCCGACCAATATATTAAAAACTATAGTTCTCGTTTTTCCCTCGGTGGCGCTGCTTCAAAATTGTGCACGTAGCGAATATCATCGACTTTCACGCACACACGATTATGCCTGTAGAGCATGAACCGTAAGAAAAAAGTAAAATTTTATGATCTCATACTTAGCCACATTTTTAAAACATGGAAGTTGAGGCTAAGCCATCACGCAAACTTGTTTATCATGTAACATCGTCATACAAAGTTAAGTATCCTAAGAAATTATAAACACAGCTAGTAATATTTCCCGTCAAAATATAAACTGTATTGATTCCGAGTATACACCATGTGGTGTTACCTATACCGAAGTCCTAAACCAAATATCAAGACAAACAAAAATTAGACACTATAGAAAATAAGCACAATGTCATTTATTACGAAAAAATAATGATTATAAGTATTGTTATATGGACATTTATTTCTTTATTAGGAACTCTCAGCTTTTTTATAAAGGGAATTCAATTGTGTTTTTTACTTTAAATATGTAAAATGGGTGTTTCTCCATTATGTCGTACGGTATAGTTCAAACTGCATAAATCAAATTTAAAAAATGAAAACTTAACGTGGGGCATAAGAGTTTTTGTCATATGTCGTAATCCAACTAATTTATAAATTTTTTTCGCGGTTGCTTAGCAGTGGCACACGTATTAAACAAATGGACTTTCAGAATCAACCATTTACACGAAAAACCATCATTTAGCGAATTTATGAATCGATTTAATAAATATTGTTTGTTTTATGGTGAATACGAGAACAATAATATAATAACTGTGATCTTCCTAAATTGTTACGGGTACTCGAAAAGTAAAGTTCTGGTCAAGAAAGCAACCGATTATGTATTATTCGAGCATGCAGTATCAAGCTATGTGATTTTTCAAGCTATGGAAAGAAATTAAGTACTGATCATAACGAAGCGACATTTAAAAAATTTAATGAATCCAAAAAAATATACTACTGGATTAAATTCGTACAAATAACATACTCTAATTTGCTTGAACTTATTCTACTGTACTGTTTAACGTTTCTGTACATTTCAAGAAAAGTGAAAAATTATAGCATGAAAGTGAACGGATAAATGTACACTTGATGCACTTTATATCTGTCAGAACGATTTGTCAACACACGGTCAATGATATCCTGTAACCTGTAGTATAATAAAGACTTACTGTCACTTAACAGGTAATATTTTTCATCGTTCCGACCAATATAAAGTGCCTCGAGTGTACCTATTGTGCATATGAACGGCTACTAAATGTGGTTACTGAAGTATGATGATGATAAAATGTGACGCTGTCGAAAATAAACATAATGAAGCAGTAAAAATATATGATATGCTTACGATAGTATAAGTAATATTTTGTCATATTTTTTGAATAAGATGTTATTAATTCAAAATTTATATTTCTAATTAAACATAGTGGAATAAATGTTATATAGGCATTAAAAGATCTAAAATTTATACATTTTTTTAGCTTCGAATTTACTGTTGAAAATATATTTAGTATTTTATACGGATGCCATTTTTCGATATCTAATAATAGTTTATATACAGGTAGTGTGCATGTATTTGATTTGTAAGCTACACTCTGATGGCGCAGATTTTACTTTTTGATGTGATTGAAAGTTGTATATTTAAATTTTTAACTAAAGATTTTTATTTTACATGTTAAAACTGATGTATTAAACAGATTAAATTTTTAAACAAATTACCTTTCAGTGATGCACCCAAAGATTTTTTTGATTCAGTGGAAATCGATTTCACCAATGGTAATAAAACTGTAATAATTAAGTAATTACAATACAGAGAAGAATTATGCTAAAAATTTTTTTTAGGTAATTCTAATGTTTTAACATATCATGTTGTTCGTAAAATTTATCTGGTACAAAATTTGTCTTTTGTATTATGAAGCGTTTCTTCATTTTATATGGAAAAAACTGACCTGAAAGCTAATCTAAAATCCAAGCAGACTGTAACGACTGTACATTTTATTCATCAGTACGAATAGTTATATTAGCCACAAATTCTAAAATATTGAGAAATGAATAAACTAATAAGTATTAACAATAAAAAAAACTTCGTTTATTTTCTGATATTACCGTATTTTTATGGCTGCAACCGAATATTCAGATCCTTCTAGGTTCAATCTTCAGGATAACTATAAGAAATGTTCACAAACAAAAGAAGTGATAAAAATGAAAAAAAGATATAGTGTACAAGACCTAAATGGAAGTAAAAAGATCTTTACCAACTTGGAACTGCAATTCATTTGTGAATTTATTTTTATCAGATCTTATAGCTTTATACATATTAATTTTAAAGTAATGGCATTCTTACACGTGTGCAATAAAATAGATACTGCAGAAAAAATATTCGTTTCCCACATATAAGAATAAATATTTGCTTTAATTTCCCTTAATTTTGAAAAAAATTGAAATTATTTGCAGAACCCTAAAAAATACAAATGATATTTGTCAATTGTAATTACTATCAAAAGCAAAGAGATTACGTAAAATTAATCGTTACTACCAGGGTAATGTTTTTTAAACTACAGCTATTTTACAAAGTGCTGATGCATTCCTACCTTCAAAAATCAAATACTACTCGTCATGCATTCGGTTTATCAAAAACAAGTTTGAACGCCGTACAGAAAGTATGAACCATCCAATAGTGAAATGAGATCAAATTATTTTTCACGCTATTAAAATGCTTGAACCCCGATTACAATTAGGTGATATAATATCTCTAAGTCAACCCGCGTGGAAATGAAATGTTGGCCAAATTGTGGCAAAAATTTTGTTGGCAAATTGTGGCTGAAACTGTGGCAAAATGATGGCTAAAGACTTGGAGCTATAATTTTCCGAGCTTCTCCAGGAAAAAGATTCCAATACAAAAAATGGTGATTACATAAAAACATACATAAATAATTTTACGGAAAATATTGCATTCCACCATTTAATTATAAAAAAAAAAAAACAACTTGCATGTATTCTTTAATCGAATTTTCAGTTTATCAAAAAAAAAACAAGAGGTAAGTAATTTTTATTAAATGTTATTGTAATTAAAATAGTAATCATCTTAAGTAAAATTGAAATAATTCATCAATTCGTTATAAAAAAATTTAACTATTCATTTTCTAGTAAATTTACAGGTTCAGCTATATACATTTTTTCTGTATCAGTTATATAAGTATTAAAACAAACACATTTCAAACAATTTACTTCTACAATTTCGAGTACATTTTGAAATTCGCATCTGTAAATATATGAACTGTAAACTGCATTTCTATTTTTTAATAAATTTTCCTTGATCTTAATTTTTAGGTTAAAAAATACAATTGTGAACTAAAATGAATAAAATTATGAACTTGATCAGTAGTATCGACTTTTTTTCCTATTATCACTGTCTCCGCTACTTAGATTTCGGTGATATCTTGAATGATGTCTATGTTCATAACGAGTACTTTCAATGCTTTTTTTAGTTTTTCGTTCGCGACTATTACTCCTAGACTGGCTTGAATAATCGTTTTGCGCTCTCTGTTTGTGCATATTTTTAATGCAACTAAGCGACTGCAGATCAACGGAGTCATGGCTATAATTTCTTGATCGCTTTGGCAAGCTTGACTTGTCTTTTAGTTGTCGTACTCGTCGGTGTTTATTTTGTATAACCTCATTATCATTGTTACTTCTTTCAGAAACATTCAAATTCTCTACAGTCGTGAGTTTTTTTTCTTGGGATTTCTCAAAGTAGAACATTGACTTTTAATGCAATCTTGAAAAAAATCATATTCAACTACTTTCGATTATTTTTTCTTAACGTATTCTATAATATAGATTTTATTTTAATTTTGTTGTTTTTCAATTTTCTCAAAAAAAAAAAGAGGTGAGTAATAAGTATTTACTATAAACGGTTGCTTTGATGTCATCTGGAACTCCTTATTTGCGATTTTTATTCCCAACTGCAACCATCTCATGTAAATTAAACTCGCCTACCAATGCTAACATTAATCTTCTTATCATTTCGGACAGTCTATCGTGGAATCTGTTGGCATCGGCAAGTTTTACTGCATCAATAAATATTCCAGTATTTTTTCCAATCTGTATACATCCACTTGTTCTTTCATATGCTGCACAAACTTTAATGTTTTCCTTCTAAATAAAAAAGTTAAGTTTTATTTTCCTTAATTATAAAACATTTCAATAATATTTTTAAAATACTCACAGTTTTTGTACTTGATTCTCTGTTTTGAAACTTTTTCAAGTTTTGCAGAACATTTTCAAGCGACGTCACAGCATTATCCAACACTATTTAAATAATAAAAATTTATTTTTTGTTGGTAAGGAAAAAAAAATAAATATTGAATAATTTTCAAATTTTGTCACCTTTTTCGTACTTGATACAGTTATGACAAGTTGG